ATGGCAGCCATGGTGAGCCTGTGTGAATTGTAGCCTCAGTTTCCTGTTCTTAGTTGACAAGAGTGGTGTGGTGTTCTGCTGCTGTAGTCCATCCGCTTCAAGGTTGGGCGTGCTGTTCATTCAGAGATGCTCTTACGCATGCCTCGGTTGTAACAAGTGGTTATTTGAGCTACTGTTGCCTTTTTATCAGCTGGAACCAGTCTGACCATTGTCCTCTGATCTCTGGCATCAACAAGGCATTTGCACCAACAGAACTGCCGCTCACTGGATATTCTCTCTTTTTCTGACTATTCTCTGTAAACCTTAGAGATGGTTGTGTGTGAAAATACCAGTAGATCAGCAATTTCTGAAATACTGAGACCAGCCCGTCTGGCACCAACAACCATGCCACATTCAAAGTCACTTAAATTACCTTTCCTCCCCATTCTGGTGCTCGGTTTGAACTGCAGCAAATCGTCTTGACCATGTCTACATTCCTAAATGCAGTAAGTGTCTGCCATGTGATTGGCTGATTACAAATTTGCTTTAATGAGCAGTTGCACAGGTGTACACATCAACACATATTTAACCTCGTAGATAAACAAAGACACATCCAGTATTACTCCAAAAAGTCAAGGTTATTAAAGCGAAATGAATTTCAAAAACCTCCATGTGCACTCTTTAAGCAATCCCTGAAGTCAAGACAGTAGCTGAATACAACATCTCAGAGGCTTGCTTGAACTTAATAGCAAAGTGGAGTAGAGGCAGGAAAAAAAGAGTCCACTTAAAAAAAACTGTGGTAAAAAAAGAGAAAGAGACGCAGAGAGCGAAATAGAGGCAGTAATTTTCACAGGACACTTTCAGCATCATTTACTTTGATGGTGACCATGACACTTTGCGGTTACTGCTGTGTACGTTTGGCATGGCTGTAAACACACGTTGCTCAATACATCTCTCTATAGTGTGCATTTAAATCCATATCTATTGTCCACTCAGGCCATATGCGCCTCTCTACTGGAGGAAACTGTGGCACAGGGCCGGCGTCTGTCAAGGACATATCCGCTAATGAGGACAGTTCCCATACACTTTTGTAAAGATCTCTCCTTCTGAGCCAAATTCAAAGAGTACAAGTGCTAAATCTGCGCCACACAAATCTGAAATCCAAAGTGACCTTTACGTTTCTGCCTCATTACCTGAAAACGTACCATTTGAGCATCTGTCATGTAAAAGTCACACGACTTATGTCGGAATAATCATAGGCGATCTAGAAGAATTCAAAATGTCCGGCGTAAATGCCAAAGAGAGAAATAAAAAGCCTTTGGTGCATTCATTGTTCTCCTTGGGAATCGAACCCGCGACCTTTACGGGTGCAATGCTTTACCATCTAAAATATAAGAAAGAACGGAGCTAGTTATGACATATTTTAAGGATTCCATCAAATGTATTAGAGCAAGGGTTGGACATTTTGATCCGTGACATACATTTATATCTTCAAAAGATCCCTCCTTATGAACCAAATGCAAAGAGGACAAATGATAAAACTTGCCACACAAATCTGAAGTCTAAAAAGTGACCTTTACATTTCTGTCTCATTAACTGAAAGTGTACCATCTGAGCATCTGTCATGGAAAGCCAGCCAGCATGTACAAATCTATAACATGCTATCTAGAATCATTAAAAAATGTAAAAAATAATAAATAGTTTTCTGCAAATTGATTATGTTTTACCAACATCTGACATGTAAAAGCCACATGATTCATGTTATAATACTTCAGTCTAGTGTAAATGTGCATTAATAAAAAATAAATAAATAAACCCTCCGGTTTCAAAATGTATCAACCATATATCAATCAGCATCAAATTTACTGCCCTTCTTAGAAATCCACAACTACAGCCTTGGCACTGACAGCTAAAACAATGCTTTTCCAGCATCAGTTAGGTAAAAGTAGAAACAAGATGAGATAAAAAGCCTTCACGTAAATTAACTGTACTTCTTGGGAATAAAACCCACAACCTTGGAGTTGTTAGTGCAAGGTGTGGCTTTACCAGAACGTAAAATCAGAGATCTTGAACTCGCAATTTCCAACTCAAATGCCAGAAAAGGAAATAAAATAAGCTTTAGGGAATATGTTGTGCTCCTTGAGAGTCAAACCAACAACCTTCGTTTTATTGGTATTCAGTGCAAGTGTTTCCAGTCCCAGTTCCCAGTCAGTGTTCCTGGCGTCTCTAATGTAAAAGTTACTGAGTTCATGTTTAAACAATCATAGACTATTAAGAACTATTTACTTCATCCAGAGCAAAAGCAGAGCAAAGTGCTTCTTGATAATCGAAACCACAACTTTCAAATTTCCTGTCAGCATTTGCCATATAAAAAGTCGCTTAGTTAAATAAAGAAATGCAGTCTAGAAGGTTTTACAATCTCCAGTACAAATAACAAATAAATAAAATAAAAACTCTCTATATAATTTGTTGTGCTCCTTGGGAATCAAACATAAAACCTTGTTATTGTTAATGCCATTGTTTACCAGAGTATGTCAGGTAAAATTTTAAAAACATATGCTGAAATAACCCCAAGAGCAAAAAACTTTGGAGCTAGATTAGTCTTAAAAATAATACATTTACTAAATAAAATCCATACATCCACAACACATCTCACATTTACAAAATCTAATTCGTAAGTTTAAAACACAATTTGTAAATACACAAATGCAATTTGTAAATTTAAAACACAATTAAAAATCACACAAATCCAATTTGTAAATTCAAAACACGATTCATAAATACACAAATCCAATTTGTAAATTCAAAACATGATTAAAAAATGCACAAATACATTTAGTAAATTTAAAACACGATAAAAAAATGCACAAATCCAATTAGTAAATTTAAAACACGATTAAAAAATACACAAATCCAATTCGCAAATTCAAAAGACGATTTAAAAACAAACAAATCCAATTCGTAAATTCAAAACGCGATAAAAAATGCACAAATGCAATTCGCTAATTCAAAACACAATTGATAATTACACAAATCCAACTTATTAGAAAAAAATATTCATGATTTTTACCTGTGAATTCACAAATTGTGTGTTTTACAAATTGGATTTTTTTTATGCGAAACGTGCTGTAAAATGTACTTTGTAAATGTATTATTTTTGAGACTTATTTGGCTCCATAAAGAATGTCTTGTAAGAGTCACTAAACTAAATCCATATAATTAGAAGTGATCAAGAACAATTCAAAAATAAGTGTTAATAAAATTTTGTAAGTTTGTAGCCTCAATGGGAAAGAACCGCACAACTTTAAAGTTGATGGATGAAAAATAAATCTTTTACTAGTTGAGCCTAAAGAAAGGAGCTCATTGTCTGGAAACTCATAAATATTTTACCTGCCATCAAAAGTAATGATGTGAGGGTCAGTCAGGGAGTAACAGGTCGCTGTTGGAACATCTTGAACTGTGATCTGCATGGATAAAATGAAAGAAATTGGTAATAATGCATTCAATACCCCTTCATTTTCACAAAAAGTCGTGCAATCACCTTGGGAAGACAATTTAGCATGGCTATTCTCTCAAAAAAAAATTACAATTTAGAATGCACTGATGGGGATAATCATTGCAGAGCCCTGCCATCTAATTATAATGCAGCCGGGTATAGTCTCTTCCTATTATTAAAGGGCACCGAGTCTCTTTCATGTTTACAGACAACACAGATGGTGGTCTGGGGCCGGTGGTGACACATTATTTAAGTAGAATGACGGTCTGTGTTTGTTTATGTTTCTTTCTTTTAGTTACTGCATTCTTGTCTGTCTCTTCAGTGTCGGGCTTATTAGAGGCTCTTTCTTTCCTTCAGCAGGGGTCAATTAGGAGAGCTGTAAGGCAGGGTTACAGAACATTTCATATTTGAAGATTTACGACCAAACCTGACCTGCGCTGGATGCCACACTGATTATGACAACCACTTATTTTGAAGTGAAAAGATGAATTCAAATACATGTAGTAAAAAAATTAAATATTTATTAAATGGTCTTCATTTTCATGTAAGTCTAAATTAACAGAGAGGGAGAATGGGAAAATGTTTTTAAAAAAAGGTTAATGTCAACTTTTTTTTTTCTGTTTCTTCAATTCTTTTACAAAAAAAAAAAATAGCTGAATATTCCATTTAACAATAACAACTTATTTAACAACTACTTAACAACTTTATTTTGGTAACCATTAGCATAAAATTATAGATTTATTTTCAATATTCACTTCATTGTTTTCCTCTTATGATAAAATTACATAACATTGAACAAATGCGAACAACATTACAATATTTATTAAAAATATTTACCAGTTTTTTTTCTAAATAACTGAGAAAATAGTACATATACAAGAATGCATGTTTGAAAATTATTGTATTTATCTTTTCAAAAAAAGTACAGTAGTTAGACCTTTTATTTCTCACAATAACTTTCGTAAGAGGGTTGAATATTTAACAGATGAGACCAACATTACAATGTCTGTAAAAATTGTAAAAAGTAAATATTTACTAATATTTCTCCTAAATAACTGGGAAAATATGTGTTTTGGTATTCAGGGATGAATATTTGAACATTAGCGCAACATTATATAAAAAAAAGATACATTTATTTATTACAATAACTTTCGTAAGAGGGTTGAATGTTTAACAAATGCAACCATCATTCAATTGTTTGTAAAAAGGGTACAAAAAATAAACATTTACTAGTCTTTTTCATAAATAACTGAAAAAAATATACATGCATTGGTAGCAGGGCTGAATGTATGAACATTAGCATCATATTCCTTTCAAAAAAAGGAGTTTTTTTTTTTTTTTTTCTTGCAATAACTTTCGTAAGAGGGTTGAATATTTAACAAATGAGACCAACATTACCATGTTTGTAAAAAATTGTGAAAAACAAATATTTATCTTATTTTCTCCTAAACAACAGGGACATATGTGCTGTGGTATTTAGGGATGAATGTTTGAACATTAGCGCAATATTCCTTTTTCTTACAATAACTTTTGAAACAGGGTTAAATGTTTAACAAATGCAACCAACATTAAAATGTTTGTAAAAATGGAACAAAAAAAAAGAAGTTAACTAGTCTTTCTCATAAATAACAGAGACAATATATGCATTGGTAACAGGGATGAATATCTGAATATTAGCGCAATTATCCTTTCAAAAAAAGAAGTTTGATCTTTTTTTCCAGACAAAAGCTTTTGTAACAGGCCAGGGGCCCCCCCGAGGGGTGGCCAGGGGTGGCCACGGCCACCCTTGTGTAAACTCTGGCCACCCCTGTGGCCACCCCAATATGATAGTTGCTGATATTAATAAATAAATGAATAAATAAAGTGCAGCCACTAAATTATTGTGGACTGATCAGCGCCACTGACGAAGCTGATTCACTGAGATTGCACACTTTTTGTTAAGAAATTATTATTTTTGAAATGAGAAAGTTGTGTTTCATCTGATTGAAAACCACAAATCCAAAATAAATAACTAGATGCATTTTGAAATCTGCTTTTCAAAATTTTGTTGGGTTTTGTTTGGTTTATTAATTCATTCATTAATCATATTCATTATTCATAATTCATTAATGTTAGACATGGCATATATTGTATGTTGTACAAGAAATAACTTACCTGAAAGAGGTTTTAGACTAAATATTGATTTTTATTTGGTTTGCACTGGTACTTGCGGAATAAATTACAATATTTCAGGAGTAATTATTGGAATTCATTAAAACTTCATTATTTATTTTACGAAAAACAAAAATATAACATTACTCCTTATTCACAATATATACACAATTCATAATTTTTTGTGTGCCACCCCAAGATTTGTTGTGGCCTTACTTGGCCACCCCTAAGAAAATTTTCTGGGGGCGCCACTGTAACAGGCTTAATCTTTCTCTTAAATAACTGAGAAACTATCACATTGGTAACAGGGATGAATATTTGAACATTAGCATGATATTTTTTTCAAAAAAAAATGCAGTAACCTTCAACCAGCATTAAAATGATTGTAAAAATTGAGAAAAATAAATATTTTCAGACTATTTTTCCTAAATAATAGGGAAAATAGGTGCTTTGGTATTCAAGGAAGAATATTTAACAAATGGTCACCTTGGAATTATAAGGAATTATCTGCGTTCTGAATGATTTTGAAATAATGAGCTTTAAAGTGTTAGCATTCCATAGCAAACAGTATGAGTGTAACATTTAGTGTAAACAACTTATAAAAAACATCCGATAATGTAAATAAGTTGTCATTTATTAAGAATTTGTCAATAACTCAATTTTGACAAAAGTGTCAGATAGAACCTTATAATTCTAAGGTGACGAAATGTGATAAACATTATAATGTTTGTAAAAAGATTTTTTTTACTAGTATAAAAAAGTCTAAATAACTGAGAAACTATTTTTTACTACGGAAACAGGGCTGAATGTTTGAACATTAGCTCAAAATTGCTTTTATTAAAACAAACTAGATCTTTTTTTTCCTTACAGTAACTTGGATAACAGGCTTAAAGGTTTAGCAATATTTATAAAAGTGAATAAACATGTAATGTAATATTTTACTAACATTTCTCCTAAATAATCAAAATTATTTGATATACTTTGGTAACAGGGCTGAATGTTTGAACAATAGCTTGACATTCCCTTTAAAAATGAAACTTGTACATTTTTAACAAGATTTGGGAACCCTTTATATTGTTTTTCCAAATAGACTGAACTGATACAGTTTTACAAGACTTATAAATGTTAATTAATTATTTAATTTTATTTAATTATTTATTTTAGAATTATCTTATAATTGTTTAATAATGTCTCTTTTAGTTTAATTGCCCCTGTACACCTTTCTTCAATTATTATTTATTTTGTCCCAGCCAGTTCCATATTATAACTGTTAATGTTATTCATGTATGCCTTTTTTACTTTTTATGAACCTTCATGAAAATATTAATCAATGTTAGATGGGTTGGGTGGAAGGTAGAGTTTAGAGTTCCTTTTGTAGTAAGCTAAATTCACTAAGTACTTCCAAGAGTACTTTGACATATGGTCCATCTCTTTCTTGTAAGCATTTAGGTGGTACTCCATGCATGAAGGTGTTTTCAATGAAAATAAAATTAAAAGAGTTTAAAAAAATAATATTTAAACTCAAAATTTTCTCCAACCATTGATTGTTTAAATATTGGCTTGACTTTAAATCTATAACATAACAGTTTTTAAAAATACTTATACTTGAATAATATAATATTTACTAATCTTTTCTCAAAAAATACAGAAAAAAATAACAATTTTCTTCACAAATATTACTAGGTTTACAGTTTACTTGTGGTAGCAGGGCTTACGCAGCATCAAGACATCATTTTTTACCTTTAGGACTTCCATGTGCGAATTACCTTTGTTTTAGTTGGTTTGCCCTACACTTCTTGTTCAAACTACAGTAGTCAACATTTGAAGTGTATCAAAAATGTTTTTCAAAATTGTCCTAGGACAAGAATGGGTGTTGTTGAATAGGTTTGGGACAACTTTGATTCAAATTTTGACTACTGTATTTTAAAATCTAAATATTTACTTAATTTAAAATGAGTTGAAACAACAAAATTCATTATTTGTTGAGGGACATCTTGATTTTTATATGTTCAATCCACTTAAATTAGTAAAAATTGATTAAGTTATCTTAATCAATTGGTGTTGGGACGACATTGAGGACAAAAAAAGGAAAAAATGATGACAAGAAGTCAAGGCATTATACAAATAAACAGATGGGTGCTTCATTATCCTGAGGAGCATTTTAAAGAGAACCCTGTGTTTATTTTCTTAAAATAACGTTATTAATTAAGCACAAACCCACTCAAGCAGCAAATCTGAACTTCTGGGATGTTTTGTCTGACCTTCAGCGGTGGTGGGTTGTAACCCCTCCAGAGGCGAGGACTTCCTTCAATGGGCTGAGCGGACAGAAAACTGACCCGGTTCCCATCCCGAGTGAAATCGGTAACAGCGGTGAGCGTCACAGTGGCCTGAGCGCAGACGCTGCTTCGACAGGGCTGGGACAGTAGCTCCACAACGCAGGATGACAAGGCCACGTTTGACACCTCCACCACTACACTGTCTGAGGAGGGAGATTAAATCAGCAGATTCATCACTATACCAAATATTCAAAGGCACCGTGCTCTTAAGAAGGGAAGGTTAGTTTATGCACATTTATGTGACTTTCAGAGATTAGGTCTAAGATGCATATGGTTGACACCATGAGGAGATATTTGTATCATTATTTATGAGTACAAATGCATATAAAAGACAAAAAGTGATCGGAATGATAGTAAAAAAAATTACACACAGTTTGCTCAGTGGGTAGCACAATCACCTCACAGCAGGAAGGTTGCTGGTTCGAGCCTCAGCTGGGACAGTTAGCAATTATGTGTAGAGTATACATGTTCTTCCAGTGTTCACATGGGCTTCCTTCGGGTGCTCCGGTTTACCCCACAGTCCAAATACATAAGCTATAAGTGAATTGGATAATCTAAACTGTCCGTAGTGTATGTGTGTGTATGAGAGTGTATGGATGTATCCCAGTGATGGGTTGCAGCTGGAAGGGCATCCGCTGCGAAAAACATATGCTGGATAAATTAGTGGTTCATTCCGCAATGGCAACCCCAGATTAATAAAGGGACTAACCCGAAAAGAAAATAAATGAATGAATAAATGAATGAATGAACTCATAATAAATATAATTGTGATAATAAATAATTAAATAGAAAAACATTCCAGCAAAGAAATATTTGATAGCCAATAAAAAATATATTTTAATATCTGTAAATATATTACAAATACTACTATTATTACTACTGCTACTACTACTTCTAATATTAATTTTAATAATAAACAAAAATGCTGTTGGAGTATAACAAACTTAATTGTAAACTGTGTTTATAGAAGTGGCAAGAAAAAAAAATATTGTAAAATTAAAACCTGAAGTAAATAAATAAAAATGCTCATAGGGAAAAAATGTGTTATTAGTATTTCTAATAATAATAATAATAATAATAATAATAATAATAATAATAATAATAATAATAATAATAATAATAATAATAATAAACTACTCATGGGAATATAATTTACCACAAAAATTTACTACAGAAACTTTTCATAAAAGTGGCATAAGAAAATTTATGATTTTAAAATAAAAAATAATTTAATAATAAACAGCCATTACAAAGTTTATAGGGGGAAAAGATACAAAGTTTTAAAATGTTAAGTGTGAATAAAATACTTTTTTTAAATATTAGTTTAAAAAACTTATGTGTGTTTTAAGAAAACCTTAAGGTAAATCTTAAGGATATATAACCATAATAATAAAAAAATCATCAATTCCATTCTCTAGGTCTGATAGAAGCACTTTTAGCTTAGCTTAGCATAGATCATGGAATCGAATTTCGACAATTTTCCTATTTCAAGCTTGCATCGTGTACTACACCCAGGGCCGGATTAACCAATGGGCCTTATGGGCACAGGCCCAGGGGCCCGTGCGCACTGGGGCCCCTGCGAGGGGGGAGAAAAAAAAAGACAATTTCGGAGTGTCTTTTTAGGCTAATTGCAAATAGCGCATCTAGTTGGACTAAGCTAGTCAGGGTTTACGCCCATCGATGCCTGATTAATAGAGACAAGATGAGTAAAGAGCAGTGAAATAATACAGCCGCAGTGGCGCACCTTGTAAGGCACACGGCATCCTCTTTTGACGCGATTAATCATAACATCGGTTCGAATCCACCATCAATTGAACTCGTGCTACTTTTTTTCTCTCCCCATTACATATCAGATTGGAAATATATTTATTTTTAACAGGAAAGAAACATTTTTTAAAAATAACGCAAATGTGATATGAAGTCACAAGTGTCTCGTGGGTATTTAATAACGTTTAGCCTTATTATAGGCGCCTGCCGCGCCTCCCTCTCTTCAAAAACTCTATTGCTCAGAGAACTGTATTTCCTCTGAGCAAAAAAAATCGCGATCACATATTAATATTATTATTATATTTAAATTGCCTTTCTTTCTTTAACTAAACAGAATGCTGTAATTGGTCAAGTGCGGAAACGTCAGTTTTGTAATAACCTGCACTAAACTGAGCGGACTTTAGTGTAACGTTATATCTGTCATAGATCAAAAATGAGTGGACAAGTGGATTTAGCAAACGCGAGAGAAAGAGGAGAGGAGGCATCTTTATTGAGGCATTTTCCATACACACCATCTTTAAACAGACCCTTGATCAGGAGAATGAGGGTACAGAAGAAGACGTTATGGTAACTTTAAATGATGAGTAGCTAGCATTAACCAGGCGGAGGAGGCTAACGGCAGCGCAGCGCGGACTGGATTCATCGTGTGAGAGACAGACAGAAAAGGAGAGAGAGAGAGAGAGAGAGAGAGAGAGAGAGAGAGAGAGAAAGGCCCAGAAGAGGAGAGAGAGGGGAGAGAAGAGGTATAGTGTCTGTGATTTCGGATACTTTTAGGTTTATAATCAAGTCTTCATCACGAGAAGAGTAGAGAAAATACAGGGAGAGGAGGAGAGAGACAGTAAATCAGTGTTTGTATTATGAAAGACTCAGATTCATAGAACTGGATTGGAGAAGCATTATGCGTTATATGCCATGGCAATAATATGCTTTATAAGTTTGTAAAAGCAATACACTAAAATACCCTTAAAAAAAAAAAAATTATATATATATATGTAGTTTTATTAGTATTTTTATTTAATGCTTTGAAAAATAATTTAAATCTTTGCAGACTATAAATACATATGTACTATATATCATTTATTTAAATATGTGGGCAACAAATTATAGATTCATTTTATTTAAAAATTATTATATTATTCTTATTTTTTAAATTCAACTATAGGGGTGCGGCCAGGTAGGGGGCCTTACAAGATAATGTGCCCAGGGGCCCCTGAGTTCTTAATCCGGGCCTGACTACACCTGTTGTCAAATTAAAAGTTGCTATTTTCAAGGCAGATATGGTTTAGAACTATACTCTCATTTTGGCGTAATAATCCAGGAACTTTGTTGCTGTGCCATGGAAGAATGATAATATCAAATTCATTTTCAGTTTGCCATCATACAGTGCTCAGCATAAGTGAATACACCCCATTCTGAAAATTAATATAGGCAATGTATTTTGGTGCACTGAAACAAAACAGATTTATTAACAGATATATTTATTATAATAATATTTTAGTCACCAAACATACTTAGAAATTAAAAGATAATACAGTTAAATTCAAAATTACAACACTTTTTTAAAGCATTTTTTAAAATTTAGCTTTTTTTGATTTTTCCAGTTTTTTTAATTTTATATTTAATATTTTTTTCTATAACAAATTTGGGTGTACTAGTTTTTGGACCGTTATGGTAAGTTATTTTGTTAGATGAGCTCCAGATTTGGCTTCAGTATTGACTAATCTAATGTATATGCACAAATATAGCTTCCTATTAAAAATATGAATTTAAAAGATAGATTTGTTAGGGGTGTACTTATATATGCTGAGCAATGTTCATAGTGTAACTACAGAAGAATGACGCTATAATTAAGTAAATTATCAAAACTCTTTGGTCAGCTTTTAAAAATGCTAATGGTTTAATTTGATTCAATGATCAATGGTAAGCTAATCAAAAATTGCTCCAGCTAGGCTCTAGATCTGCTGAATGCGTTCAAAAATGGTCAAACTCATGTGTTTAACTCTAGATTAGTTGTAAAATGAGGCTATTTTTTAAAAAAAAGTGTTTGTTTAAGGTCATAAATATATGCTTTTTAATAAAAGACCAAACACAAACAAGGGTTCCTGTCACTCCTACACTAAAACCCTCACCTGACTCCCGCACACTGAGAGCGAGGGCCACTTTGCAGCGGCGGTTGTGTTCAAACCCATGGCAGGGTATGGGGACCGTGCTGTGAACGGTCAAAACATGCTTTCTGGCATCTTCGCGAATCTGCAGGACATCTGGAACAAACTGCAGAAATAGAGTCAATCAAGCAGATCTTATGCGGCAGAATCTTTGCCGTGTTTCAGTGTGTGTTTAGCCGTAATTATAGTTTCAGGCGAAGTGAACGGCGCATGATCCATCATAATTATAAAGAATTAGATGAAGCCGGATTTACCTTAATTCCTGCAAAAAAACCGACGCTCTCTTTGGAGGCCGACTGTGAGCTGGAGGAGTTTAGCAGGAAGGTAGAGACACTGCAGGAGAACTGACATCCAACACACACACACACACACACACACACACATAGACACACTGTCAGGAAGGTCATCGCCACTGAGTGCTAAAAACAAACGACTGACAACAATGAGGATGCACTTTTCTGTTAAATTAAGTGTTGTAATATTTATTAAAATGCAATATTTAAATATTCTAATTTCTAATTTTAAAACAAAAAGAGAATCAAGTGGATTAACATTTGTAAAATTATAGTTGTAATAATTTATTCAGCTATTAAAAAAATTGAATAAAACTAACTCTACATATTCAAAAGTAATATTATTATTATTCATTCATTCATTTTCTTTTCATCCCTTTATTAATCTGGGGTTGCCACAGCGGAATGATCCGCCAACTTATCCAGCATATGTTTTATGCAGTGGATGCCCTTCCAGCTGCAACCCATCACTAGGAAACACCCATACACACTCATACACTATGGACAATTTAGCTTACCCAATTCACCTAGTGCATGTGTTTGGACTGTGAGAGAATCCGGAGCACCCAGAGGAAGCCCACGCCAACATGGGGAGAACATGCAAACTCCACACAGAAATGCCAACAGCGCTACCCACTGTACCAACGTGCATTCCTTATTATTATTATTATTATTATTATTAAGTATTTATTATAATTGATTATTATTTACATACATTTAATTATTACTTTATCATAATCATATTTCTGATAATGCTGATGATGATGTTTATTTTAAAATCAATTTAACATTTATAATGATCCAAAAATATATAAAATGATAATAATATTTAATAAATGCATTCACATTTATGTTGTAATTGTTTTTATTGTTTATATATCATATTGTTATCTAATAAAATACATGACATTTATAAATAAATCCCTTTTTTAAAAATGACAATAATAATTTGAAAATTTAAAGTATTAAAGTAACAACAAATGAATATATTAAATATGATAATCAATAAAACTCTTTGTAATAGATGTAGATTGCCACAGCTACATCACCCTGCACCCCAAGACCGGTTACTCCCTGAAACTAAGCAGGGCTGAGCCTGGTTAGTACCTGGATGGGAGACCACATGGGAATACTAGATTGCTGTTGGAAGTGGTGTTATTGAGGCCAGCAGGGGGTGCTCAACCTGCGGTCTGTGTGAGTCCTAATGCCCCAGTAAAGTGAAGGGGGACACTGTACTGTTAGTGAGCACCGTTTTTCAGATGAGACGTAAAACCAAGGTCCTGACTCCCTGGGGTCAATGAAAATTCCATGGCACTTCTCGTAAAATGGTGGCCAAATTCCCTCCATCGTCTCTTACGATCATGGCCTCCCAATCCCCACCGAATTTGCTCTTTCACTGTCTCTCCACCACATCAATAGCTGGTGTGGCGAGCGCACTGGTGCTATTGTCCTGTGGCAATTTGCATCATCCAAGTGGATGCTGCACACTGGTGGTGGTGTGGAGAGACCCCTTCATGGTTGTGAAGTACTTAAGGTGTATGGTCATACACGATTAATGCGATATAAATACTAAATATTTTACAATTACATTTATTATTTTATATTTTTAAAAAAAGTAATTATTATATATACATATATTTATATATATATTTATATATATATATATATATATATATATATATATATAATATATATATATATATTATATATATATATATATATATATATAATAATTACTTTTTTGAAAAATACATATGTATGTATGTATATATGTATATAAATCATGTACACATTGAAAGGTATTATTTTAAAAATAAAATTATAATTGTTTGTAACTAAACTTTCCTCACATTTACTGTATGTTAGAATTAATTTAGATTTTTATTCTATTTATTAAGATGTAAGATTTTGTTAAAGACCAACTATTAACAAAAAAAATTATAATTTACATATTATAGCCAATATGACAAGTTACAATATGATAATGAAATAGTTTGTATATTAATAATAAAATACAAAAATGTATAAATGAAAAAGTTAATCCGGGGCTAAATATGATTTTTCTCCCCCATAATGCATGTTTGATGGACATCATCATTAATTAACACCATGTATGGTACTGAAACGCAGCACATTTGTTTGAATGTCCTTTTGTGTGTGCATGGAGGATTTTCAGGGCGCTTTTGCCTCTATAAGGGAATCACATCGAGTTCAAGGTGTGTTTGCATGTGAGTTTGAATAAAACCAGCTGTGACACGTGTTTAAGAAAACCACAGACGACGAGACCTCTGTGACGAACAAACATAAGTGGTTTAATGGCCACAGGTAGAGAAACACAGACTCTAAGACTCGAATCTCCTTCAAACCCCACGTCAAACTGAACAAATCGTGGAGAAAAATGTTCCACCGTTGTGTTCTTTATGGTTTGTATACACATGTGGTCTCGGTTTGACCTTTACTCTTTCCTCACCAGGTCTCATTTCCGCTCGAACACTTTTTGAACTCAGAGAAGTCAAAGGTTAGAGTGACTAGAAAACCTTTTTGCCTTTCTTGGTCTGCTGAGACGTGAATGTCTGGAGCGCATTATTTATGCCACAGAAGAAGGAAAATACAAATCACAGAAGATTTCCGCAAAACTTTGGTAAGTTTTCATTACATTAACCATCATTAAGCAGCTAAAGCATATTTTTCTGCTTTAAGCAAATTTAAAATCATACATGAAAACATAAATATTTTCTGTACTTAAAATTAAGATGTGCTCATAATTTGAAATGTTACATCTGAAATGTTGTTTTGGTCATTTTTAAAATACTTTAGCCAAAGTCCGTCGTCAACTTACTTGAGCTGCTCTGCTCCAAAAAAGCAATCTCAAGTCTCCAAAAGCCAAACGTTCAAAGCACAAGTGATTTATTATATATAAAAAAGGCCCACAGTGTCTTCTTCTACCACAGCATATTGCATTTCAGAATTTCATTTCATTCCATGAAATTTTTGCTGCCAGTTTATCAGGAACTGACTATTTTGTTCTCTTTGAGTTGTTGGGCGAAAACTGTGATTTATCCGCAAATGTTTCATGAATCAAATTTGCATTTCTGGATGGAAACATAGCTGATGAGATTGCCAATATGGTTCACGGTCGGCTCACATTATGTGACCTAAACTTGGTGTCGCTCAAAAACAAAACAGTCAAGCATATAAGATTCAATGACAAGTTTCAGGTCACATAATAAAAAAAATCCAAATTAATTAATTAAAATAAATAACTAACAAAAAAACAAAACAAAAAAAACAAACAAGCCATAGTAGAATGGGGGCATCGCAGCTGCGCAGTGGGTAGCATGATCGCCTCACAGCAAGAAGGTTATTTTTTATTTGAGCCTTGCCTGGGTCAGTTGTCATTTCTGTGTGGAGTTTGCATGTTCTCCCTGCTCCTGTTTCCCCCACAAGTACAAAGACATGCGCTATAGGTGAACTGGGTAAACTAAACTGTCCGTAGTGTATGTGTGTGTATGAGAGTGTACAGGTGTTTCCCAGTGATGGGTTACAGCTGAAAGGGCATCCGCTGCGTAAAATATATATGGATAAGTTGGTGGTCCATTCCGCTGTGGCGACCTCTGATTAATAAAGGGACTAAGCCGAAACAAAAATAATTGAATGTATGAGGTTAGAATGATTGAGTAAAATTATGAGCACATTTTCATTTTAAGTACAGATAATATTTATGTTTTCACTTAATATTTCGAATTTGCAAACAGGAGAAAAATATATTGACTTAATGGTGCTTAATGTAATAAAAATATCCCAAATTATTGCAAAATTCTACTTTAACTTTGTCCTGCAAAAACTTTTGGTGTTTTTGTGATGAAGTGGAAAAGCTTGTGTGATGAATACACAAGGGACAAGCGTGTGGATTACATCTTCTTCCATTTAACAAGTGAATGTCTAAAGTCTTGTCACATGTACCAGTATATTTAGGTTTTTCATTAAGTGATATCTAGCGTCAGTGCTAAACTAGTGCAGGTGTGTACAAGTTTTAAAGTGATTTCTTGTACCGTTTCTCCGAGTCTGAAGTGCAGTCCGTCCATTTCTGCCAGTGAGTAGAGTCGAGTGGTGGTTTCTCGTCTGATCTCCACCTTCATGGTGTTGGAGGAGTATCGGGCCCACACCACCTGAAAGCCCAGCGGCCACACGGACAACACCCCAGGGAAAGAGCAGCGCAGATGGACGCTGCTGCCCACCAGCTCAGCCGAAACCACCGGTTTAGAGGGTAAAGAGGGGACGTTCGCTTCACACATTAAAAATTAATAAAAAAATAAAATACAGTAGATGAAATGTAAAGTGGATACAAGAACATATGGAGCTAACATGACATTGATGAAATTGAGAACAGCTTACCTTTACACACACCGTTGACTTCAGTTTCACCAGGTGGGCAGGATTTACGGGTGTATGGTGAAACAACTAAATAAATCAAACAAGCAAATGTCATTTTTGTGAGTTTGTTTTTTATTAAATAATGAATAAATATGAAATATATACATTTGTAGGCAAAACTAAAAATATTTCCCAAGTGTCGTTTAATGGAGAGAGAAAAAAACTTTCAACACACATTTAAACAAAAAAGTTTTCCATTATTATTAATATTTAAAATGCATTAATATTTAAAAGAAATAAGAATTCTCCAGAAGAAAACAATACTTCTTCCCAAAGGAAATACTGTGAAAGATGTCCTTGCTCTGTTAAACATTTCCCGGGAAATATTTAAAAAGGAATCTAAATTAAACAGGATGCATTACTTTTATAATTGAATTTTTCTATCTTCAGAAGTGTCACCATCACCAGCGATCTAACCACTAGAGGTCACTGGAAAACATTTACACTCAAACACATTCAAACTACAATTCTGCCTCATAATGGACTACAAAACCCGTCATGTACCACACACACACACAACCGGTTCCAGATCCTGACTGATTACACTCTCACAGCTGACGCTGCTCAATTACTGATTACACACACATATATTCGGCTCACTTTGAGACACTCATTGCTGAGTCTTGTTATTCGTTTAACTGACATTACAACACGTTTCCTTTGTCTTGTTTTGTCGTGTTTTGATCCTCGCCTTGTTTATCTGTGTATTCCTGTCTGCTGCCTGCCTTCTGACCATCTGCCTGTATATTTGACAAAACTCTGGATTGCCTTTATAAATCTTTTTGCCCGTGTTGACCATTGTTTACCTGACCTCGCTAATAAACCTGCATTTGGATCCGCACCCCTGTTGTCAGTGTCACATTACCGTTACAAGAAGACATAAAGACTTCATATTTATATATTATTATTAAAATTTACATGAATAAAAAACGAAATAAATAAATAAATGGTCAGTATTATTATTAAACGTTTAATAAATTACAAACATACGTACATACATACATTTTATTTATATATATATATATATATATATATATATATATATATATATATATATATATATATATATATATATATATATATAGTAAAAAATATTAGTAATTTTAATACAAGATGAAACATTTTAACAAATACAATTTTTTCAATTTACTACTTTTAATGACTATTTAAAATGAAATCATACATAAATGATAATAGTGATGATGTCTTTATCATAAAAAACAATGAAAAATATATATTTTTTTATTTATGCAAAATATTAAAAGAAACAAAGTTTATCTAATGGTTGTTTCCTATTAATAACTAAATGAAAATAATCAAAACAATAATAATGGTTAATGATGTTATTATTATTATTATTATTATTATTATTATGATTATTATTTACTTAATTAAAATACAAAGACAATAAAAAATTATATTAAACAATTAATTTTAATATAATAAAATAATTATAGTAATTGTATTTTCCTATTATTTTATTTTATAATTATTTTTTATTGTGATTAATGGTCATAGTTATAACAACAGTAACACATAATAAATAATAATATGAACGAATGTGTACAATATAAGTTGTGTTTTAAGTTTGTAATTATTTTGTAAATAATAAATATTATTTTTAAGATATTCAAGGCCGCTTTACACAATTGAAACTAACTAAATTTAACAAATTGGGTTTTATTTATTAAATAAATAATGATCAACTGATCAATAAATCAATCAAAAAAATAAACAAATAAATAAAATTGAGAAGCTCACGAACACTCTTCGATTTCAATGAATGATTTCAAATGTTTATTCTGTTAATGTTCTATTTATTGACTGAATCATCTTTTTATTAAATATGCTTTTAAATGTTTTGTTTTGTTATTTCGGACAGATTTGTATCTACTTTTTTTTCTAATTTTACATATTTATTTGTTTAGGCAGGGTATTACAATATGTGTATGTAGATAAAGTCAAAATTATTATTATTGAATACTAAATATTATACAAAAATAAAAGAAAATAAGTTATTAGTGATGAGTTAAAGTATTATGTTTAGAAATGTGTCCACACATCTCTCCATTAAACAGAAATTGAATTAGAATAATTAAAATGTAATAGGAGGGATAATAATTTTGACCTCAACTGTATAAATAATTATTTATGGCAGAACATCAATCTGATTTATATGTCAGTTTAAACTATAGCAATGTGAAATAAAGCATTGACTTTCAAGCATTGCCAAACCTCCTAAACTCAAGCACTTTCCCTATTTCCTGTATCCGTCATGGAAGCATCATAAATCTGTGAAATATTGCTACATGACTTCAATAATCTAATTCTCTCCCTGCCGCAGAACTCCGGCCACTTAGCAATCGATCCCAAACTAAAAATGACCAAAAGACTCTCGCTCACGCTTGATGATACAGTCATTTATATGGATCCGGGAGATGAAGTTTGAAAAGGCAGAGAGGAAACACGGCTGGAGAAAGAGAAATATTGATCATCAAGCTGCAAAAGAGACTGTAGTTTCTCTCTGGGCTCAAACATCTACAGGTGTTTTATTGAACGGCCCAAAAGAAACTCTTCATTATTTTTTCCACTAGTGGAAGTCTTGTTCGGGGTTTATAAATCTATTGCCGGTGAATGATAAATTATGCTGCTGAGACTGAGTTGCTGAAAAAGCAGTTTCATTTTTTGTTTACATTTTTTTTTTAATGTTTAAGCTGTGGTTTCACCTCAAAACAGACAGACAGACAGACAGACAGACAGACATAGATAGATAGATAGATAGATAGATAGATAGATAGATAGATAGATAGATAGATAGATAGATAGATAGATAGATAGATAGATAGATAGATAGATAGATAGATAGATAGATAGATAGATAGATAGATAGATAGATAGATAGATAGATATGCTTTTGTTTTTGTTTTGTTGTGTTTTGGCTTAGCTTTGTTTTGAGCTTCAAGCTTAACTTGATTGTTTTTTTTTGTTTTTTTGCTTTGTCTGCTTTATGTTTTGTGTATAAATATAGTTTTGCATTTTTTCATGTTTTGTTTTATTTTTGTTATGTGCAATGCATTTTCTTCAGCACATCCCCTAATTTCTAAAATATCAGCCTCTACTAAATGATTAATATGTCGGTTTATGGTAAAAGTACTGGACTTAATACTGTACATATACTATGAAAAATCTGAAAGTATATGAAGTCTAAGACCAATTTATAAAAAATGTTAAAAATAAAACATTTCTGAATACTAAATAATCTTTATTTTTTAAAGTATGCTATAAAATATTTTAGATTCTCATTTAAGACGATTTTATTTTCTTTTTTTTTAACAATTAAACCAAAATCAATTGTAGTAGTGCAACAGGATGTTTGTTTAACTTAATTTTAGCTTCATGAGCAGTTTTTGCTTGTTGTTGTTTCACTTTGATCTTTGTTGTTTCTGTTTTATTAGATTTTTTTTTTTTGTGGTATTTTTTTGCATTCCCTTGCTTTGTTTTAGTTTCACTTTACTTTGCTTTTTTCCCAGTTGTTTTGCATTCCTTTTTCTTTCCAATATTTAAATAAATTAATCAATTAAAATGCAATATAAATAAAAATTATAATGAGACATAAAAAAAGACAATATTTGTTAGTTTGTTTAAAACCACAACAAAAAATTGTATTTAAAATATTACGATGCATTTTAAAACTAATTTTAAAAAGTGAACAATTAAATTACATTTGTAACAGATAAAATATCATTTTTTTTAAGTAATAAAACTGCTGGAAATATCAATCAAATGGTCCACAAAAACGAAATTATTTTGTTTATACTTATAAAAATAGCAAATACATAAAAATGATAATGAGAATGTATATCATTTGGTAGTTTGTCAAGGCCTAAATTAAATCAACAACAAAAATATTTAATGAAAAATGAAGATATAGTTAATTACATTTTATTTTCCTTCGGCGTAGTCCCTTTATTCTTCATGGGCCGCCACAGCAGAATCAACCACAAACTTATCCAGCATATGTTTTAAACAGTGAATGCCCTTCAGCTGCAACCCAGTACTGGGAAACACCCATAAACACTCACATGCACACACATACACTACAGCCAGTTTAGTTTACCCAATTGACCAATAGCGCATGTGTTTGGACTGTGGAGAAACCTGAGCTCCTCTGAGAAACCCACGCGAATGAGGAGAACATGCAAACTACATACATAAATGCCAACTGACCTAACCGGTTCTCGAACCAGTGACCTTCTTGCTGTCAGGCGACAATGCTAACCACTGAGCCACTGTGTATATAGTAATTAATTTAAATGCTTGTAAAGTATTGAACTGTACCTTCTGCACAGTATCCCATGCAACCTTGAGTCGGCTGTAGGAAGTATAGCAGGAACTCTCCACAGTTGCGGACTGAGATCGGGATCCGGAAAAGACAGCAATCTTTAGTGCTTCCGTGGAAGAACTGCCATGTTGCACAAGCCGAAAGCTGCTTAACCTCTCCAGGCCTCGGCAGAGAGCTGTCCTTAAGAGACAACCACACTGGAGCCTGTGTACCACAGCGGTTCATCTAAAAAACAAGAATAAAATCAAGAGGCCGCAGTTCATAATCTTAATAATAATAAGAAGAGATTCATAATAATCAAGATATAAGAAGCATCATCTAAATACAGAGGTTTAACATAGAAAACAGTTCTAAAAGATATGAATGAATAATAAAAATAAGATGATTCAATGCAAGATTATGCAGCTTTGGAAATAAAAGCCGGCAGCTAGCGCTAGACCGACAGCTAGTTCTCTGCAACTCTCACATGATCCCCAACTGAAGCTAAGCCCGGTCTGTACCTGGATAGGAGACCACATAGGAAAGCTAGATTGCTGCTGAAAGTGGTGTAAGTGAGACCAGCATGGGGAGCTCAACCTGTGGTCTATGTGGGTCCTATCGCCCCAGTATAGTGAAGGGGACTCTATAATGCTCAGTAAGCGCCGTCTTTCGGATGAGACACCGAGGTCATTAAAAATTACAAGATGTTCTTTGAATAGGACAGGTCCTTTGATTTGTCCTTTGAGTAGGAGTTTAACCCTGGTATCCTGGCCAAATTTGCCCACTGGTCTCCTAATCATCCCCATATCGTAATTGGTTCTCCTCTTCACCAATCAGCTGGAGTGTGGTGTGCGATCTGGCACAATATGGCTGCCGTAGCATTATCCAGGTGGATGCTGCACACTGGTGGTGGATGGGGAGATTCCCCCACAAAAATGTGTAAAGCGCTTTGAGTGTCTAGAAAAGTGATATATAAATGTAAGGAACATGTATCCAATAAAAAAAACATCGAAAATTAGGTTGGTAAAGGAGGATTAAGTAATTAAATAGGCGTCTGAAGGCAACTCAAATAAAAGAGAGTTACAGCAGTCAAATTGTGACATTACTAAAACATTTATGAGACTGGCTGTAGTGTTGGTTGTAAGGAACTGATGATAAATTCATATCAAGGACGACACCCAAACTCATGAGATGAGAATGAAGGATTGTGGAACTGTTATTTGTGAGTGAAAGTCGCTGGATATGTTTAAATTGGATTTAGTACAACAAGAAGTACTTTCACTTTTTTAAATACTTACCTTGAGAAAACTAAGCTCCAATTTCCTCTTAAAAATGCAAGAGAGAAGAGGACAAAAAGTGAAGCATTATGCTTTGAGGGCAAATAAAGCTGGGTGTCATTTATGTTGAGTGGAAATTAATACTGAATTTCCTAAAAAAAAAAAAAAAAAGATACAGATATTCAATAAAAGAAGACTCAAGACAGAGCCTTGAGGGGCACCAAAATTAATAGGCGAGGAAATGGATCTAAAATGTTTTTTAGTTGAACAAATTGAGTACAACCAGCAAAATAAGATCTGAACCAAGCAAGAGGAACACCAGTTAAGCCAACAGAGATGAATTTCTCAAAAATATTTTGACTAAATATCAAGTAGTAAAAATCTGCAAACTGATCAAGTGAGTGGGGAGCAGGTTTGGGTTACAAGTATTGATTTCATGTGTGATGTCGAATTAGATTTAATCCACCAGTAGGAAGTTCAAAACTGCAGAATAGAAAAAGACAAGAACCATAATCACCTCAACGCAGCGGGTTGGCATTTCTGCTGGTTTATTGTTAATGGAAAATCGGTACCATCCTGGCGGCAATGAATGATCACAAATCAGCTCCTGTATGGCTGTGTTTTGAAGTTCAGTGGAGTCGAAATCAACGCTTCGATATGCGTTCCTCAACGTCCTGTATCCACCCGGATAGCACTCTGGAGCTGGAGGAAGCAAGAACACGGTCAAAGAAAGGCCTGAATATATTCATAACAGAATTTGAAACAACCTTTTGGCAAAGACAAAGGTCAGCGCTCAAAAGACTGCGAAGGAGAAGGTTGAAATCTATGTCGCTAAGTTGGCTTGAAAACGTCACTCAGGTTCATTAAAACCCAAATGGGGGTTCCTCCAATGCTTAACCGGGGTAAAAATAACACACCTTTATCTAACCTCTTTTCTTGCTCTTAACTTTACAATGAAAAGGTCGGCAGAATCGGTGATGTGTGTCCGGGTCTTGCGGTAAAATAGAGGGACAAAAATAGATGTTTGACTTTCAGGCTAAAACCTTTATAATCCCTTGCCATTTCTTCAGATGGCACATCTGTAACACCTTACCCTTCTCTTTCAGCCAAAGTGGGTTGGATGTCACTGTCCTGGCTAATTACAAAGGGGACAGGACTGGTCTCGTTTTTTTATGCTAGGATGCCCGAGGCCAGTAGTGCACTGGTAATCCTCTAATGCTCCATGTGAACATGCTAATAGAAAGTTTGGGTGGATGTCATGGCATCTCTGGTAGTCTATGTGGGAAGTGGAGACAGGGCAGATAACAGTCATTATAGACAAAACAGACTGGTGGGAAAAATGCCGACGTTGGGGTGGACAGTGCAGAGTGCTTTTACCTGGTGATTATCTCAGAAAAGCACAACAAAACAAAAAGAAGAAAGGGAAAGCAACAGAAACAAAACTAACCGACAAAAAATAAAAATCAAAGCAACAATTAAAAGGCAAATTGAAGGAAAGCAGCCAAAGAATCCAAAAAGAACAATTGAAAGGAATAAAACAAAAAAGGCAAATCAAAGTGAAGCAAAAGAAGAAAGCAAAGTGAAGACACTATACAAAACGTAATGAAAAATGTAAACAAAGCTTAACAAATGCATGCAATTTTAAGAATGTAACAAAAGCAAATCAAAGAAACTCAACAAAAGCCAATTAAAAGCAAAGCAACAAAGAAAACAAAGCACATAAAAAATCAAACATATTAAACCAACAAAACTAAGTAAACAAAGTAAAGTGAAGCAACAAAACGAAAAAAGCAAAACAAAGTGAAGCAACAAAATCAAACAAACAAGATCAAAGGAAATCAACAAAACCAAGCAAACAAGGAAATAAAAGCAAAGCACCAAAACCAAACAAACCAGGAGCTCAAAGCAAATCAATAGAACCAAACAAACAAGGAAATTAAAGCAAAGCAACAGAACCAAACAAACAGCCAAATTAAAGTTAAGCAACAAAACCAAACAACCCAGCAAATCAAAGTGAAGTAACAGAACCAAACAAACAAGGAGATCAAAGTGAAGCAACAAAACCAAACAAACAAGGAGATTAAAGTGAAGCAACAGAACCAAATAAACAAGGAGATTAAAGTGAAGCAACAGAACCAAACAAACAAGGAGATCAAAGTGAAGCAACAGAACCAAACAAACAAGGAGATCAAAGTGAAGCAACAGAACCAAACAAACAAGGAGATCAAAGTGAAGCAACAGAACCAAACAATCAAGGAGATTAAAGTGAAGCAACAGAACCAAACAAACAAGGAGATCAAAGTGAAGCAACAGAACCAAGTAAACAAGGAAATCAAAGTAGAACAACAATACCAAACAAACAACAAATTGAAAGTGAAGCAACAAAACTAAACAAACAAGGAAATGAAAGCAAAGCAACAAAACACATGAAACAAGCAAATGAAAGTGAAGCAACAAAACCAAACAAATGAGGAAATCGAAGTGAAGCTACGAAACCAAACAAACAAGGAATTCAAAGCAAAGAAACAAAACAAAGCAAACAAGCAAATCAAAGCAAATCAACAAAATAAGCAAATCCAAACAAAGAATAATAAAATGAAACAAAAGAGCAAACCAAAGTGATGAAATCAAAGGAAATGGAAAAGGTAAACTTAACTGATGCAATCAGTTGAAAAAAAGTTGTAAAAAATTGGTAATTGGTAAAAAAACAAAATCAACGAGAAAACAAAACACTGGAGACAAAATAAAATACAATGAACAATGTATGACTTTCAGTTGTACAAAAACAATTTAATAAATTGACCAGCGTTACCAACATCGTGTGGGCAAGTTTTGCATAATCTTTACCTCATATTTTCACTTTTAAACATACCCAGATCTAGTTGAACCCACATCTTCCCTCAATAAAGTCTCTGATACAGACTAAAAAAAGTTTGTTTAAACTGACCATCTGAATGTCCTCATAAAGAATATGGCCAGCCGACCTCTGACCGGCATGGAAAGGGGCATAAAATCTGTCCTGTAATCCTGTCTGGGTTGGCGAGGCCAGCCGAGAGACTTTTTCTGCCCTGCTGGAGCGCTGATGAGATCATGTCTCGGCTGGTTTAGGGGTCCATAATGCCCTGCTCTTTCAGGCTTAATTCAAGGATCATTACTTCGCAATTACGTCCTAAGCTTTACTTATAGTGGTGTAATGGGCCAGGATGAAGATAAAGACACTTAAGCGTTCATTTTATAAATTCTTAATAATGGTTTGCAGGGAGATACAGGGATGATTTGAGGGGACGTTTGTTAAAGGGGAGGTAATGGTGTTTCAAGGTGGACGGTTTTAAGACAGCATGAAAGTAAAAGCAGCTACTGGGTGTATTTCACTTTAATATTCATGCAAACATACAACATTTGGAGACTGAAAAATATACTTATTGGAAATCTACAATAGACAGTTTGGACATGTTTTAGGGATTATTCACGCAGAATTCATCATATCTACAAATTGAGTTTAGGTATGTTCACATCAAGACACAACTACTGAGTGCCTGTTTACAGAACCCCGGACTCTGAGTTCTTCTGATTGGTCCTTTGCTTTGTAATTGACATTGATGAGCAGTGCTGCATATACTGTAACATTTTAAGTTACTTTAATATGACAACCCTTACATACAGTATAAAAACAATGAAAATGTAATGCATGAATATGAATATATGTATATATGTATATATGTATATATATATGTATATATATATATATATATATATATATATATATATATATATATATATATATATACATATATATATACATATACATATATATACATATATATATATATATATATATATATATATATATTTTTTTTTTTTTTTTTTTAGGACGTAATTGCAGAGTAATGATGTATTATATATATATATATATATATATATATATATATATATATATATATATATATATTAGGGGTGTGATGAGATCTCGGGCTGCGAGATCTTGCAAGACTAAATTGTGAAAAGATTTCTCGTCAAGGTGAAGAGTTGTTTCGTGAGTTGTGACATTAGGATGGAGCATGATGGTGAATTTAGAACTGAAGATTGAGGCAGGATGGATTTCAAAAACAAATCAAATGCTTTGCACAAACAAAGCAACCCGGGCTGTCTCCTTGTTGAACGTCACTCATTTGCTTGGGCGGGTGTGACGTAACTGCTTTTTTCACCAGAGTTTAAAGGTTGCTGCGTCCAAAAGCAAAGGCTGCTACAACTGCAGCCACACATACCGGCTTGCAGGATCAAATTCCAATAAAACAGCTCTTTCCTATCAGTCCAAGCATTTTTTTATTTTGTTTTTAGAAGATATCTAATAGACATCTAAAAGTAGTCATCTTAGCTTAAACAAGGCTAAATTTGGGCTGTCAGTGAAAATTTTATAGACAAGAATAGGCCAAAACAAGACTATTCATCAAATAAATAGAATGACTACATATAAGGTCTATCTAATCTCTGCATTTGATGACTAGTGTAGTTCTGGCCTATTCTTAGATGTCTATTAGTCATCTATGTCTATTAGACAGCCCAAATTTACCCTTGTTTTAGCCAAGCTGTCTACATTTAGATGTCTATTAGACGTCTATTAAACACAAAATTGTTTGCTGGGTACTTACATCAGTGAGTGTCCAGTTAGTAGAGTTTATAGCAAAGTGTTTTTGCATGTGTTTATGGCATAATTCATTAAAATAGAAGTAAAATAACATCCATTACACTGACTTTATAAAAGCACCCAAATAATTTTTCATATATATATATATATATATGTACACACACATACAGTTGAAGCCAGAATTATTAGTCCCCCGTTTTTATTTTTTTTATATTTTACATTTCTAAACATAATAACTGCTTCATTTTATCTTTGCCATGATGACAGTATATAATATTCGACTAGATGATTTTCAAGACACTTCTATACAGCTTAAAGTGACATTTAAAGGCTTAACTAGGTTAATTAGGTTAACTAGGCAGGTTAGGGTTATTAGGCAAATTATTGTTCAATGATGGTTTGTTCTGTAGATTATCGAAAAATATATAGTTTAAGGGGCTAATAATTTTGTCCATAAAATGGGTTTTAAAAAATTAAAAGCTGCTTTTAATAAGACTTTCAAATAAGACTTTCTCCAGAAGAAAAAAATATCATCAGATATTCTGTGAAACATTTCTTGCTCTGCTAAACATCATTTGGGAAATATAAAAATAATCAAATAAAAAATCAAGGGGGGTATAACTGTATATATAATGACGTCAGATTAGTAATATCACAATTCTAAAAGAGAATAAAAAAATCACTAATGTAACAAAGAATAAATATAAATTATTTAAAATATATATGAAGATTTCAGATGCAAAAGCAATTTTTTATGGCTATGATTACAATCTCTTCATTACCTTTAAAATAAAATAACTGAAAATGAACATAAAAAGCTAACAAAAGTGCACATTTAAGAAGAAAATTTCAGATAGCACTTAAAGGTTTTTGCCTCTGAACTCTTCATATACAGGATGTCACAAGCTTTTGAAACAAAAACATTCAAGAAAAACTATTTTCCTTGCATCCTTCACACAACTTTTTAGAAATCTCCCACAAAAGTAACTTACAAACAGAACAGACATGTTGTCTGCTGAGAACATTTAAGCAGAAAAGTTTTGCCAGAAGGTCATATTTAACCCAGCAAGCCACGTTTGGTCTCTGTCTGTGCTTGTGAGGTTGACAACCACAGTCAAATCCTGCTACGCGGGTCAAAGGTTTCACAAACACTCGTGTTTTTAGCCCTCAAAGCAAAGCTGGGACAGAGCTGCTGGGTAAACACCACAGACTGCACAGTTAATTTGTTGACTTATGGACCAGCTGGATTTCACACACTTCCACACCAGGGACATTCACTAAAATCACCATCCACTTTCTCCATGTGTCATCGCTGTTGAACATCACACTGCTTTTGAATTAATCGAGCACTAAGGTGCCATTTACACTAGTGATTTTTTAGAATGAAAACACTCCTCATCCAGACTGGCTTTTAATTATGTTTCCGAAAACGTATTTCTATTCACACTATACAGATTAAAACACATATTTTACGAGCATCCATATACAATCTATTGCCTGCTTAATGGTTATTTCATTAGGGCTTGATATAGGGAACGATACACAATATTCAGAAGACCAATCAGAGAGTGATTATAGACAGCCACACCTCTGTTTTCAAAAGGGTGCATTTTAAAGGGTGCATGATGACAGTAAATAATATTTGAGTAGATATTTTTTCAAGACACTTCTATACAGCTTAAAGTGACATTTAAAGGCTCAACTAGGTTAATTAGGTTAACTAGGCAGGATAGAGTAATTTGGTCGGTTTATTTTTATTTAAGTTATTGTACAATGATGGTTTGTTCTGTAGACCATAGAAAAAATATAGCCTAAAGGGGCTACTAATTTTGTCCCTGAAATGGTTTTTAAAAATTTTAAAACTGCTTTTATTCTAGCTGAAATAAAACAAATAAGACTTTCTCCAGAAGAAAAAAGAAATAATATTGTCAGACATACTGTGAAAATTTCACAGCTTTATTAAACATTTGGGAAATATTTGAAAAAGAAAAAAAAATCAAAAGCGGGCTAATAATTCTGGCTTAAACTGCATGTGGTTAAAATCTTTGATGTGTTCAGAAGGGTTCATGAGTGAAACAAATACAAATAAAGCTGCAAGAAGAGTTTAAAGACCTAATGTCAAAGGATATCTACTTCCACAAAGAACTTTTTATTACTCAAGAGTTCTATGTTGTGGCATTTTAAACGAACCAACACACTGATCCAGTGATGTTAATATATCCTAGTAGAGTGTTGCAGAAGGTTTGTGCACCCAAAAATTGTGAAAAGTTTTATGAGAACACAAAAGTTCTGGGAGTAAATGCCAAAAGTGTTAGGGGAATGCTAAGGTTTGGCAGGGAGCTCAAGCTTTTCGCAAAAAATATTTTATTGGGTAATGCTAAATGTAAAGTTTCTTGAGGTAATGGAACATTTGCAAATGTCTAGGAAAAAAAAAGATTAGTTGGGGCAATGTAAAATCTTGCAATCAAACACAAAGCTTGTGTTGGTAAATGTTTTGCATGTAAACAAAATTTCTTAGAGGAATGCAAACGTTTTGTCTTTGCAAAGAAAATCTTCGATTTCAACACCCCTCCCCCCCACCCTCCACAAAAAAAAAAAACAAAAAAAACTCACTAAACATTAAACGCAAGTGAGCGAATACAAAACCTTTTCGGAACTCATGTCAGTAAACACGAAACTAGTGACAGAAAGTTTTGCATCTGTTCATTTACAGTACATTAAAAAAATAAAATAAATAAATAATACATAAAAATGAGAGATAGTTTAAATTTAGCAAATACAGGGATTTTAGGGGAATGTAAAAGGGTTTTCTTTTCTTTTTTTTGCTTACTAATTTACTCAGATTTAACATAATTTTCACCAGCACTGTGGTGTTGGCCCACGTACGTTTTATGAGAACATACCATTTTTTCAGAATCTTAGGGAGAATATTACATTTTGCACTAAATAGTTTTTTTAACCACAGACTGGTTCCGACCTGTCGCACTCCAGTACTTATTATTCTCGCTCTCATATCAAAAATGATTTGAGAAAATGCCAAAGTTTGGCAAATAAATGCAACGTTTCACAGCAGAATGCAAAAATCAGTGTAACTACAATTTTTCCTTCTATCTCATTTTTTTTTCCATCTCCAGGTCATCAGAGGTCTGAAAATATAAAGTTTTGTTTTAACCTGCCAAAAGCTATAACCAACTCAAAACTCCAACAGAGCAAAAAATATATAAAAATCGATAAGAAGCATACTGCTGGACCTACCAAGCGGCAACGAATCCTTATTTTAAGCATGTATAGCGTTTAAAGATTCTTAAACCTGGAGAAGTTTCACATTATTGTGTGTATATGTGTGTGTGTGTGTGTGTAGGGCTGGTAAATGTGAGTTATCTGTTGTGACATTCTGCCTCTCGGCCGAATGAAAAGCTGATTACACCACAGGACAGGAACGGCTCCAGATATTCACACTCTCGGGCCCCAGGGAGAGAGAGAAATTCATTCAAAAAATGTGTCTCTCAGGTTAAGGTTTGTCGGCTTTATGAAATATCAGTGACCACAGGAAACTGTCCTTGATATTAAAGCAAAAGGCAGTTGCAAAGGCACTCATCCATTTCCACCTCTTCACTCAAACCCAAAGGACTCAGAGGTTACGTCTCTTTCTCTCTCGATTGTGTTGAGGGGGGCTTATGAGGGATGAAGTCACATGATCCAAACACACAGCTGTCGAAATTTAATAAAGACAGAAAAGTCAACGCTGATGATTCACCGAAGAAATATCACTGAGAATGATTCGTTCACGCTCTGTCGAGTGAAAGGACACCACTGAGACCACATTGTGCAAGAGACAATACCAAAAAATTGAGATATTCATTGTTCGGCTTTGTTTATTCCCAAAGCTTCACAAAATTCAGCTGAGAACTACATAATTAACATCCTTTTTAAAAGTTAACAATAATGTCTGTTCAGTCACACAAACAAAGTTAACCAACAATCCCCCCATTCTTCATATAGGCCCTACACTTTAAAATAAAGTAGTTTTTTAGCATTTTAATGGCTTCATAAACAATATTTTACACCAGTAGAAATATTCAGTATGGTTTTTTTCTGAAATGTACTACTACTACTACTACTACTAATAATAATAATACAAATTATGAAAACTTAACAGTATATACATTTTATTTCATTCTTTGTATTTAAATAATGTTATTTTTTTAATTATAAAAATAAGCTTTCCAATATTGGTGCTTTTTCTTTCTTCAGACCTAAAAAAATCATCTATCTATCTATCTATCTATCTATCTATCTATCTATCTATCTATCTATCTATCTATCTATCTATCTATCTATCTATCTATCTATCTATCTATCTATCTATCTATCTATCTATCTATCTATCTATCTATCTATCTATCAGGCCTATTGTAAAACATAAAATTTTATAAAATAAGGATTTACACAGGTCTACAACTTGTAATGGCATTGAGGCATGAGCTGTAGGAAAAGGACAGTACAAATATCACAGCCTCCCTAATCAGTTTGACCCCACAATCATGAGGCTCACATTCCCACAATTACAGCACCCCTGAGGCTTCAAACTCACCTACTGACGCCTCTAATGACTGCAGACAGAGAGACAGAGAGAGAGAGAGAGAGAGAGAGAGAGAGAGAGAGCGCATGTGTATTCTCGCGCTCTGGAGATGGTCGTTTTCACGTCAGAGTAATTATTTATCAAAGCTGCCCAGACAGATTGTCCATTTGGCGCGCAAATGGATGTCAGTGCGGAGAGTTATAACGAAGTTTAACTTAGATCCTAAACAGCTGTTCAACCCCTCCGGAGGACTGGGATATTGAGCGCTAATAAAAACCAATGTCTTTATATTGAAAGCACATTTATCTCAGCAGCATGTATCTGACGCAGCCAGACAAAAATCTTGTGTACTTTTAAACAATTATGTAGCGGGGAAATAGAAAATTAATATAAAATAGTTTACAAAACAGAAAAACGTATTATTTTATTCATTCTTTTTTTTCCGGCTTAGTCTCTATATTAATCAGGGGTCACCACAGCGGAATGAACCGCCAACTTATCAATCAGATGTTTTACACAGCGGATGCACTTCCAGCTGCAACCCAAGACGGGGAAAAGATTTTTAAAAAAGTATAAAATTTGCAAAATATATATAGGTGTGTGGTAAAAAAGGTAATATATAACAAGCTTTAGCATATATTCTTTACAAAAAAAAAAAAATATATATATATATATATATATATATATATATATATATATATATAATTTAAAACATACTTTCACAGTACTTTTCACATTTCAATTAAAAGTAACTAAGTAACACATTTAGTAACTTTTTTAAAAAGTGACTTTTTTATACTTTTTGGTGCAAAGGGTTTGTGAATTAATCAAATATAATCTATTTCACTCAATTAAACTATTTTAAACAGATATTATAAGGCTTTCAGAACATAAAAATACTATAAGATCATAAAATACAATATATAATAAAACAGCCTATAAAACAAACTAAGAACAATAGCAATACAACTGTTGAAATAAATAGTGGCATAACAAACTACAACAAAATAATTTTCACATGTTTGAGCATAACCGGTTACAATTTTAAAAGGGAAATGAGGTACATGTAAATAATGAATTACCATAAATTACATAATATAGTGTTTATATTATATTTTTATAGAATAGTAGCCTATCTTTCAAACAATTTTGAAAGGAAATAACTGAGATTATGGCAAACTCTTGTGCATGTGGGCAAGGCAGCATGTTTTTCAATATGCATAGCTTAAATGCTGCATGTGCATCTGTTGAATACATTCTCCGTATTTCCATCTGCTGCGCGATACAGAGACATCCGTCTTAAACATGCGCAAAAGTGCAGACGATGCATTCAAAACATCGCCCATTTTTAAATCCAATTAAGTTTTAGACTTACCCAGCTGCGCAAGTAACTTCACAGGCAGCAAACTCAAGCACCAGATGCAGGCAGATGACTTTAAAAAGACTTTCAAAAGATCCATGTTTGAGTCACAGCTGCTCGAGCGTCCACGGGAATCCCATCGGAAAGTTTTGCCGAGTTTTAGGTTCCACACAAAACAAAGTTTGAACACGCGGCTCCTGATGTTGACATGTGTTCCTCCCAAGACTAGGGAAGTTTCCTTGCGAACAACATATTGTCGTTAATTTATGGGTAGTAAGAGGAGTCTTGAACCATTTTTTTTCTCCGTGTGTGTGTGTGTGTGTGTGTGTTTACAGTCAGCTGTCTTGAGGAGTGAAGGGGCACTTGGAGTCAGAAGCCCTCAATTAACTGGAGAGTAGGAGGACACTTGTAGGGTCTCCCTAGTGAAACAAACGGACGAAAGGCTCAGAAAAAGGTAATTTAATGGAGCTAAGATGGAGAAAAGATTATTGTTTCTGCGTTAAATTAGGTGAAATAGCTTTTCCGTGGGGCATGTTTCTGTACATTGCCCTCAAATACGCTTCCAATTAGGACATTTTTTGCTGTACAAAAATTCTCAAAGAACTTAATAACTCGATTAATGTGCCTGACCTGACGGGTTGCGGGTCTTTTATAGCGTTACGGTTCGAAAAACAATGCTGAATGCAAACAGTAAACCACAAATACATTGCTGAGGTCGTCACGTCAGAGCAATTCCCCACAGTTCCCTAGAGATTTTCCTTTGGTGTTTAATGGATTTTTTAGTTTTTTTGAAAAATAAGGTTTGAAGTAAAAAATAATGAAGATTCTACAAGGTTTTGTTCTACGTTATAGGCTGCCTGTACACACATGCACAAAATGTTCATAGCAGCCTAACTTAACACAACAGCATAAAAACAACATAATAACACAACAGCGATTATTTCTATAATCAGTTATATAACCAATAATTTACTACAACTAACATGATCAAACTGTGATTAGTCCAGCAAAACACGGCTAATTTGCAGTTACATGGTTTAACATGGATTAATTGGCTAATTGTTAAATTCATTCATTTTCTTGTCGGCTTAGTCCCTTTATTAATCCGGGGTCGCCACAGCAGAATGAACCGCCAACTTATCCAGCAAGTTTTTACGCAGCGGATGCCCTTCCAGCCGCAACCCATCTCTGGGAAACATCCACACACACATTCACACACTCACTACGGACAATTTAGCCTACCCAATTCACCTGTACCGCATGTCTTTGGACTGTGGGGGAAACCGGAGCACGCAAAGGCAGGGAGAACATGCAAACTCCACACAGAAGCGCCAACTGAGCCGAGGTTTGAACCAGCGACCTTCTTGCTGTGAGGCGACAGCACTACCTACTGCGCCACTGCCTCGCTCCTAATTGTTAAATGAAAACATTTTTTTTTCGATTAAAAAAATGACTTTTTTACTTCATATTGATCTAATAGCCAATCATAAGACAGCAATGTACAACAATGGGAATCTACAGTGTGTTTGATATTAGATATGTACAGAATTTTCAGCCACCGAAAATTTATCAGCTGAAATATGAAGCCATTTAATGAACCCTCTCATTTTTGTGGCTTCAGTCATTGTTGGAGTACTCGTTTATATTTGCAGCATTAATAACTGATTTAGACATTTATATCATTATCGTTCAATATGGAAAATAATTGTTGCAATTGCTTTTTTGTGATATCGCCCAGCCCTAATATAGGCGACGCCGTGGCACAGTAGGTAGTCAGAAGGTCGCTGTTCAAGCCTCGGCTGGATCAACTGGCGTTTCTGTGTGGAGTTTGCATGTTCTCCCTGCGTTTGCGTGGTTTCTCTGGGTGCTCTGGTTTCCCCCGCAGTCCAGAGACATGCGGTACAGGTAAATTGGGTAGGCTAAATTCTCCATAGTGTATGAGTGTGAATGAGTGTGCGTGTGGATGTTTCCCAAAGATTGGTTGCAGCTGGAAGGGCATCTGCTGCGTAAAAATTTGCTGGATAAGTTGGCGGTTCATTTCGCTGTGGCGACCCTGGATTAATAAAGGAACTAAGCCGAAAATAATCTATCTATCCATCTATCCGTCTGTCTGTCTGTCTGTCTATCTATCTAACCAATCCTTTCAAGCATGTGAATGTGTTTTTTTAGGTATTGTATTTGCTGTAGCACATTTGAAATAGTTGTGCTGCTTTAAACTATTGTTGAAAAATTGAATAATAATATGACATTGGATGGATGAGAAAAGATTCTTATGGGTGGATAAAACGACATTTGGCCTTTTTTTGCCTAGGAGTAAGTGTTGAATGCTAACACGTACAAGTTCTACAGATACCCCACAGATGGGCTTCATTTTAGCTCAGTTAAGCTCTGAAACCTAAAACCAATCCAGTGAACCACAGAGGACCCCAAGAGCATCAGTGTGAAGACTCAAATAATACTTCTTTATACCTTTTAAGTGTTCTTGAACAACCAAGAACCTGTTTCAGATATCAGTTTCTACCATTTTACCACATTTTCAGTGCAATTTTCATATCTTAGGTTATGTTTACAAGTGTTTACAACTATGTACTTAAAGATTTGCATGCAGATGACAATTCTGCCATACCAGGTGTCACTATGCAAAGAACACATACTGTATGGTCCCTTAGTCTGAAATGACTTGAAACATGCAATGCTATTTAAAGTGTTAACAATTTTCACTGAAACAGGAGTATAGGCCAGGACATTAAGAAGCCCCCATTTTAAAATAGCCAATAATATTTTGTTTACATCAGAGCTGCCTAAACTCGGTCCTAGAGGTCCGGTGTCCTGCTGAGTTTAGTTCCAACTCCAATTAAACACACCTTAACCAGTTTATCAAACTCCTAAAAGCATACTAGAAACTTCCTTGCAGGTATGTTCAAGCAAGTTGGAGCTAAAACACTTAAAATTCTAGAGAGCATGTGAATGGACAGAAGATCTGATGAGAAACTGAAGTGTCGAGTGATGTCATAAAAATTGTTAATCCATATTTGCGAAGGTTTAGAATACTATTACACCTTCTAAATGCTACATGTGGAGCATATACGATTATAGGTATTCTTAAGGCTAATATAGAGGTCAAAAACTTTAAGTAAATTTTAGTTAGAGGATCACATGCTTATGATTGCTTGCAGCCGACCACCCATTATTCAATTTATGATTTACCAATCAGACGATTCCTAAGGCACTATAAATACCCTAAGTTCCATATGACAGCCATCTTCGTTTTGAAGAATCCCCCCTTCCACCCCTACTCCTCCTCCTTAGATGGGTGGCATGGTGGCCCAGTGGTTAGCACTGTTGCCTCACAGCAAGAACGTCACTGGTTCTAGTCCTTACCAAGCCAGCCAACATTTCTGTGCGGAGTTTACACGTTCTCCCCGTGCTTACGTGGGTTTCCCTTGGGTTCCCCGGTTTCCTCCCACTATCAAAAAACATGCAAAGTTAATTGACAAATCCAAAATGGCACCATAGACATGCTCCTAGTAAGTAGTTATCTCTTAAGAGCAATCACTATCTGTTCATTAGCTGGCAGGGGAGTTCTCGAGATCTACCTCAGCTCAAACTCCTCTCTCACCTTGCAGACGTGAGGGAGCCCTGGGCTTGAGGATCTTATAAGCTCAGGTCTTTCTCCCAGGACAGCATGTCAAACAAGCCTTATAATCAATCATCAGCTAAGTGTGAACTCTTGGATGAAGACAATAATTGCAATGTTTTATTTTATTTTTTTGCACTTTGCACTTTGTTTTTGTTTAAAGGAAAAGACAAAACGCGCATACATTTTTCACTTTTAGTTAAAAACACTGTTGCGCAAATGCACCCTCATAAATCTCTGTCGGTTTTCAATATTAGCAGATCTTCTTGAAAGCATCCAGCTTTCGGTCTCAAAACTTCAAGTCAACACCTCATCTCTCTCTCTCTCTCTGGGCTTGTTCATTTCCAAACCAAATTCCTGACTGTCCAATTGTGTAGATCCCTCTCAATCCCTTGGCATGGAGCAACTCGGATGCCACCTGGATGAGGGTGAGAGGGCTGAAGTTTGAGCCGTTATATCCGCTTGTAATGCTTGCAGTCTGGCCAGAGCAGAAGTCGAGGTTCCTGTCATGAACTAGCTTTGGCGAAAGTCTTCGGCTGTCATTCCCTCTCAAGCTGTTGGATTAAAGTGCAGACCTCATGCCAAGGGGGAGCCTTTGGACTTGGGTTGAAAAAAACTTCATTCGTCTTCAGGATGGGCTTTTCCTTTAAGCCGGGAATTTGAATAGAAGATCTCCAGAAGTTGTGATGAAGGAGTGGTGCTGTGGTCTGAAATCTGTTGCCACAATAAGAGAAATATCAGACTTTTCTTAGATCATCTGAGTGAGATGTCAGCAGCTTGTAGACTTTACATTTAAGAGATGACTTTAAAGATTCTAAGGAATGGATTCACTTACTTGACAAAACTATGGGAGTTAATTGTCCATATTTGAGGACGAATAGCTGGGACATATGGTGGATATAATGGTGTTTCCTAAAAACAGTAATGAAAAGTGGACAAAGATAAAAAGGAGCTGCAATGCAGAAATGCATTTTTAGATACAACTATTTTAAGATTTAAATAGTATATGAGTGATTCTGATTGTGGGTATATTTTGTGTCATACATCTGTAATTTTCCAAAAACAAATCTTAAATTAAACATTTAAATAATAATAATAATAATATCAAGTTCTCTCTAAAATAATGCACTGTAAATATGTATTTGTGTTGAAACAACATGAAGGAATTAAGTTAACTTAATACAGGGATTCTGCAGGTTTCATCAAGTCAAATTCAAGGCTTTTAAAGAGCCTTTTTTAGATCATTAAAAATGAAATTTTATAATAGGTTAAAAACTTTTAAAGACTTAAAATATCCCAGTATTATCACGAGGAATCGTATAATTGTTTTTAGTTTTCTTTCCCATATTTGGGAATTTATTTGGTACAGCTCAAGTAAATTTGATCAATTTGCTATAAAAACTTTTATTTATTAAAAAAAAAGGTTATATTTAGATGCATTGTTGGTTATTGGATGCATGTCAGTTCTGATTAAGTAGCTTTACTTGAATAAAGCAAAATTAAGGCCTATTTAAAATGGTTTAAGACCTACAACACAATATTTCAAATAATTTAAGACTTTTCATTCATTCATTTAATTTACTTCGGCTTAGTCCCTTTATTCATCAGGGGTCGCCACAGAGAAATGAACCACCAACTTATCCAGCATATGCTTTACACAGCGGATACCCTTCCAGCTGCAACCCAGTGCTCGGAAACCTTCATACACACTCATTCACACACATACACTACGGCCAATTTATTTATTTTTTATTCACCTGTACCGCATGTGTTTAGACTGTGGGGGAAA